CTATTTAAAATGATCGGCATGATCAGCAGAATATTCTGGAATCGATTCCAAATTTGGAAATACCCCTGACTGAAATATGCAATAATTATCTAAAAGATTTTTATATTTTAATAGAATTTTTTAGCTAATTTAAATAAATAAATATTTTAACAGAATCATTCTCTTAATATTATTACATATACTTAAGTTTTATATAAAACTTTTATGATTAAAAGGTGAATTATATCTAGATTTTAATATAGAAAAAAATTTTTATCTAATAAAGTACCTAGGTCTTATAATATAGAATATTATTTAAAAGGATATTATAAACAGTGCTATATATAATATTATATAATAGATGATATTTGCAGATCTTTATAGAATAACATTATTTGTATTTTGTATTCATCTTCTGTATCTAATAAATATGTGTTGTTATTCATTATTATATAAATATGTCTGCTAATTTTAGAAATCATCTGAGATATTTTTTTTATGTCTCAGATAATCTAATTTTTTATCAGATCATCAGTCTATCAAAAGAAAAATCTATAATAAAAAAAAACTTTTTTTTATATTATCTGCAATATTATATAATATATATAATCATCTTATTTGAATAATTTTCAGAAATATCTAAGATTTATATCTATTAAAGATGGTTATTGCAATTAAAAAAAATGGCGTAATTGAGTTGCAACTTGTGACGCAATTAAATATTCTTATATTGCAATTAAGTTACAACTTAATTAAAATTTAAAAATAATTATGGAGACATCTTTAATATCTACTTAAATGTCTTATGATAATTTGTATAATAAATATATTTAAATATATTTTTAACTTATTTAGAACAAATTTATATATTAACTGAATATCAAAATTTTAAGTCATATTTTATTATAATGTTGCTTTCTACTTTATTAGCATAATACATTATTAGAACTAAAATAAAAGTTAATAAATGTAATTAAAAACATTTTGTAAATAATGTATAGATATATTAGAAGAAGAAAAAGGTTATAAAATATAATTTTCAAATATAAAAGATTGTATAATTCAATATTTTAAAAAATGTCTTAATTTTCTTAATAAATAATATCAGAAGAAAGAGAAGAGATTTTTCAATTAAATAAATCTCAAAATTTAAACAAAAACTATGTAAATTTTAAAATTTAATTATTTATAATTAATTATTTAATTAATATTATACCAATTTTTTTATTTATAGTTTTCAGATTTTATGTTATTGTGACCTTTTTTATCATCATTAAATTCTTCTTATAAAATAATAAAGAAGATAGGAATTTTATTACTAAAAAATTATAGTTAATAATTATTTGTTTGAAAAAATAAAAAATTATATAGTTTAATGACTTTTTGTATTTAATTCAATTATAAAATAATTTTCATTTTACTTTATTATAAAAAAATATAGAATTATAAAGCCAATTACTTTAAAAAATAACTTACAAAAGTTTCTTAAATTATTATTAAATTAAATAAAAATTAAGTAAATAGTTTATATTTGATAAAAATAAAGATTTTAAATATTTGAATATTATTATTTAAAATATATTCAGAAAAGACTTAAAAATATGATATTTTTAAGTTACTTCTAAAGAAAATCTAATTGATATAATATCATATTATCTATGTAACTAGCAAATATAGTTATTTTTTGTATTTATAAATATGATACATAAGACAAAACGTGATATAATCATAATTATATTTAGTATTTATTGATTATGTCAAAATTAAACTAAATTAAGAAAATTTAATCTTTCTTCTTAATGAAAAAATTCAAAATGTGAAAATAGTTTTTAATTTAGATTCAAAAATTAATATAAAAAATTATTTTCTTATTACATTAAAAATAGAAATAATAATATTAATAATCAATCAGATTTTAGCTAAATATAAAATTATTTCAAATAGATTAAGAAAAGTAAATGCAGATCATACTTTAGGATTTATAAAGATTAAAACAATTTTTATTATTAATATTTGTAAAAATTAACTTGCAGATAAGTAGTAGGCTTAAGCTGTATTAGTTGAATATTATGATATAAATGAATAATTTACCTTCTTATAATTGTTTGAAATATTTTTAAATAATATTTATTTAATATTATAAAGAGAAAAATTTTTTAATTAATTTTAATCAAAAACGTTATATAAATTCTAAATTTAGATTACTATTTAAATTTATTTTAAAATTAATTTAAATATTTAAAATATTTAGTTTTACTAAATTTTATAGTTTGTGATTTTTATAAGTTTAAATATATTTTAGTTTTAAATAAGATTTAATATAATTTTATTAAATAACTTATTAAATCTTTAAATTTTGCAAATTTACTAATAATATTTAATTTATTTTAAAGAATTTTAAATGATATTTATAATAATAAAACTAAAAAATGATTATTTCTTATTACTTATTAATTATTAAAGATTTTTATATTTAAGAATACTTTATTAAATATTAATTATAAGATTTAATACTACTTTTTATTTTTTAATTTTTTTAAATTTGAATAGAAGTGATAAAGTTAAATAATAAATTATTAGATTCTTTTTTACTAATTTTCTTTTTAACTATTATTAATAGATTTAATATTGCTTTCTTTAATATAATTTATTCTATAATAGATAAAGTAAAATCTTTGCAAATTAATGCTTATTTTTAAAAAAGATTAAGGCCCATACAATAATTTGTTATATTTTAAAATGATTTTTTCTTCTTGTATAAAATGCCTCATCATTCTTAACACTTGGGATTTTAAAAAGATGCGACATGTTCATTAACTTTCTTTTGTGAAAATGTAATTCTATTGAATGCATTAAAGGATAAGTTCTGTGATTGGTCGTTTTGCATTAAATTAAAAATATTTAGCAATAGAACTACAAGAAATAGTGAGTTTTTATAACTTTTATTGTTAATTTATATCAAATTTCTTTACTTCCATAATAAAAGATTTAGAAGGATTAGACCAAATGTGACTAATAAGAGGATCGTTATATCGAGATTTCACTGCATATTTATTAGCTAGAATTGAACTTGGTATATATATAAATATTAAAGCATATACGTCAAATATCTTGCATTAATAAACTACCAGGCACATTACAGCTGCCGCATTGAACAAAGTTACTAGACGGAATATGGTAAGTTCATATCGTATTGGTTACAAGTTGTTTTGGTTCCTCCTTAAAATCAAAAGGGGGTGGGACAAATAAAAACAGGTGCTACATAAATTCATACAAAAAGAAAAAAAAAAACTTAAAAATTACAGATCACGTGGGTAAGGATTCAGGGGCAAATAATTTCACGTGTTTTTGTATCACTATTGAACATTAAAAATTTCTTTGCCCAAATTTCCTTTCCGTCCAGTTTGTCACAACTTCTTTTGTTCTAATTTATAAAATTACTTCAAATTATACCGTAACGATGGCTCAAAGTAAAAGTGCAGCTTACGATTATCTTATAAAGCTTCTTTTGATCGGGGATTCCGGTAAAGTACTCCGTTTTAGTTCTTTGTTATGAACATTTTGATATTGAGAAAAAAAGTTATCATCTACTTTGGAAAGAACTCTGATTTTTTTCGCTGTTTCTTAACTTTTAAATAAATTTTTTTTTTTGCATTTATCGGAATTTTAAAACATACCAATATACATTTCTTATTAAAAAAAAATTTCGAATATTTAGGTGTTGGCAAAAGTTGTTTGTTGCTCCGTTTTTCCGACGACTCGTTTACTCCCTCCTTTATCACTACCATTGGCATCGACTTCAAAATTAGGACGATCGAATTAGACGGAAAACGAATCAAACTTCAAATTTGGGATACTGCTGGTCAAGAACGTTTTCGTACTATCACTACAGGTATTAAATTATATACTAATTCCAATTTTTCTTGGTCATTATTTTGTTATTTTAAAACTTTATATAATACTTTTGTATGTGAACACCCTTATAGCATATTATCGCGGTGCTATGGGTATACTTCTAGTGTATGATGTCACTGACGAACGGTCATTTAAGAGTATCCTTTTCTCTTGTGAAAATATTTATTGAAATTTTCAAAATTCATTATTATCTTTAATTTTTTTTTTAATTAACCAGACATAAGAAATTGGTTTTCCAATATAGAACAACATGCTAGTGAAGGTGTTAATAAAATTCTTATTGGAAATAAATGTGATTGGGTTGAAAAAAAGGTATCATCAAGTTTAATTAAGTCTAGTAGTAATTAATATCCTTAATATATTTCTAATATTTCTTCTACTTGATAAATTATCATAATCCTAGGCAATCACAAAAGAACAAGGACAGGCTCTTGCGGATGAATTTGGCATTAAATTCTTGGAAACTAGTGCCAAAGCAAATATCAATGTCGAAGAAGCGTTTTTTACTTTGGCCAGGTTTGGAATCATAAAATTATAATTTCAAAATTTTTCTTTAATAAATTTAATTACATTATTATTGATAATAATATTATTACAGGGATATTAAAAAGAGACTTATTGATACACATGCACAAGAACAACAAAACACTCAAAACAAAAGGCTTGAATTGGATAACAAAAGTCCTAAATCCAGTGCAGGGTCAAACTGTTGTAACTAATTCATCTTATATTGAGTGAATAGTGTATAGGTTAATTTGCATTGATCAAATTTTTAACACTGCTTATTTGTTGCATTGTGTCTTAATTAATCCATCTTTTAATAATAATGGGCGATTTTTTTTATTTTTCTATTTCTTCCATTTAATCAAATAGAAATTTCTCTTGGATTTTTGATGTTTCATTTATGTTGTTATTTATTATTGTAATTTTTTTCTTAAAACCTTTTTTTTTTTTATTATTTTAAATGGATACTATGAATATCATATATTAAACTTTGAAATTAATAATAAAGTTAGCCTAAACTAAGCCACAACAGTATTCACATTGCACGTGCTTTTTTTTTTTTTATAAAATTGATCGAAAAAAATATTTGAATGTTATCAAATATGATGGAAATTGATGAGACCAGGGAAGCGCAAGGCGCTATCTTTTCGATTGATGGTATTCTTATATAAGTTACATGCAAAATATAACTATTTGTATGAAATTTGTATGTATTTCTTAGCATAAATTTGCTTTTTTTCAGTTTTGGCGTTAATTAATGAAGCCAGAAATACTTATGGTCTAAGGCATCAAGACTATGCGCGTTATAGGTAATTTTATTAAGAGAATTTAAAGGCGAAAAAATCTAATATTTAACTTGCATAATTCTTATTTCTATATCGGAACAATAGACGGTACTGTACGCAGAAGGTTCACCAGCTTCGTAGTTCTTTAAATTTTACTCACGGAAAAGGCAAGTCTTTTCAAAAGAAAGAAATAGCCGACGATGTGTTCAATGACGTTAGGTGAGAGAGAGATATATATTATTTGTGATTTATGTATGAATATTTTGAGAATTCTTAACCATATTAAGATAATTATTTAATTCGTAGATATTTGCAAATCGTTTTGTTTAATACCGAGCGTGCTTGGAGTTATGCAATGGAATTAAAGAGAGAATCTAGATCAAATGGTGATGTTCGCAAAAAGCATCATTTAATTAAAAGATTGAAAAAGGCTGCAAAATGTGGTATACAACTAGAAAAGTTATGCTCACGAGAATTGAATAAAGTGGATACCAAAACTTTCTTTGATGCACAAGTTAGTATTATAAATTTGTGTTTTAATTCATTTAAAATATTACATACTAAATTCAGATTCTTTTATTCTGTAGGCTTATTCGGCCTTAATGTCCGGTTATTTTCTATTCGAAAAACAGTCTTGGCAGGCAGCATTAGATAAATTTGCCGCGGCAAGGTAATACGATAATACTTGATTAAAAATATACAATTTCTCGATTAATAAAATTAATTAAAGATTCCTTTACTTCAGAACGATATATGAGAAGTTATCTGCAGCTGGAACTTCTCATCAAGAAACATTGTGTCAATCTGCTATTGATGATATTGATCCGAATATCCGTTACTGCGCATTCAAGTTGAAGCTAGGTACTGATAGTAATAATATAGGTGTTGAGGATCTAGTTAAGATTACCATAGGAAAAAACAAAAGCGTTGGTCTTGATTTATTGGAAGCGGAAGTAGAAGTAAAAATCTTTATTGAAAAATTGATTCGATATTTTTTTTTTTTAATGTACATTAAATGAATTAATCGCTTGATATAATAGACTGTTCTTGCTCAGACTCGTCAAGAGAAGGCCGCAACTCTTACGTCCATATCTTGGCGCGATCGTGTAGTACCACTTAAGAATGCAGATTTAGCAATATGTATTTTACGAGCACGTGAGGCTACAGCCAATCTTGAAAACGCTTCAGATACTGATACAGAAGAGGCTACTAAAATGGAATTGTTCGATTTACTCCTTGAGGCTTATGGAGATGCAGAAAGGTTTGCCAAAAATGCCGTTAAGGAAGATGCGGTAAAAGATAATCTCTGTGCCGACTTCCTCTCTTGTGTCTTTGATACGTTTCTAATTATTAATTCACCTATTTGATTACATTGTTCTGTTCATACATAATTCATCCTTGATCAACAAAGGAAGCTACGGCAAAACTTAAATCTTCTAAATCAGAGCAAATTTCCGCAGATCTCAACTTTGTATATAATTATGTGGCATATAATTATTTATCCCGTAGAATACAACGAAACTTGATGCTTGTTAATTCATTACGAAAACATATAGATAATCACGAACGTAATGAGGGAGAGCGGTTTGTTGGAGGAAAATATCAAGATATCGTTAAATTATATGATAATGTTTTACAGGTACTGTAATGTAACTCAATTAACTTTGAAAACTAAAATTTTTTTCTCTTTCTAAATTTATTTTGCGTTTTCTTCCTAAATGTAGAGTTTAAGCGAAATTAATGATCTTTTCGTAGTTCAAAATGATGTTAACTTGTCTAGAGAGATCGATGCCAAAATTTGGTATTTTAAAGCATGGAGGTAATGAAATTAAATGCAGTTATTCATGAATTATTTTTATTTATTTATTTTTAGATTGTTGACGCATATTTCTTTGATTGCAGAACTTTATTTGTTGCCTTGGCTTATTCGGCTATAAATAAGGAGTGGGAAGCAATTCTTTTATATGAGCGCGCTAGAGAATACAATGCTCAAGCTAGAGCTTCATTGTCTCAATTAATACTGGACAAAGATGATATATTAATTGTAACTATTAAAGAAGTTACCGAGATGGAAAATATTTTACGAGGTAAAATATGCAAGGCTCGAGCTTCTTGGCATATACTACATGATTCTAATCTGACCAAAAAAATGGGCGAATTGAGTTTTGATGGAAAATCCAAAGCGGACTCAAGTATCGATAAAGAGGTGTTCATTTCTTTTTAATTTATTTGGTTGGATTTCTTATTGTTAATGTTAGCTAATGACATACCTTTTTTTTTTTTTTACTTTCTATTTAGATACCTTTAAGTGAGCGCCTTAATCAATATCCCTCCAATTTGTCAATGAATAATGCGCGGTTGATTAATTTTCCACCTGAATTTATTCCTATTCCCGCAAAACCACTGTTCTTTGACATTGCCTTTAACTATGTCGATTTTCCTCCTACTTTATCTCAGCGTGCTGGACGAAAAGCACAAACCAGTTTCTTGAAATCATTTTTATGGCGCTAAAAAGTGATAAAAAGTAAATAACATAATATCGATATTAAAATTTAATACTTCTAATTAAAAAAAAAGAGATTTGGATTCTCGGAATTTAATTTATAATAAAAATTTAATGAATTTATTTCCTAAATTTGATAATTACACAAATTTGTTGCTTTTGAGTATTCTGAATTTTACCTTTCAAAGATTAAAATCACAAACTATTACAATAAAATTATTGTGATGAACATTTAATAAAATACAATAATTGTAAGATAATTCGATTTATTTCTTAAATGATTTAGAAGATTATTCAAAAAAAAAAAAAAAAAAAAAAAATTGTACTATAATACAAATTTATATCTACGCAGATTAATCAATTATTGGAAAACAAAATTTCACTTAAATTCCCAAAATTCATTAATTATATTTCTATTCATCATTACTTACTTTAATAGAAGTATTTGTCATTTTCATTCTTGGAAAATTATTGGATTATTATGACATCAATAAATCTGATAATAGATAGACTGACAAAAATAAATATAAGGCTTCATATAATTCTGCTTGTATTTTCATTTGCACAGGAAAACGTTCAAACCTTGTTTGGGTTCCAAACAAAGATCTTTAACAAACAGAACTCTTCAATCTACCTAGTTTGACAAAGCTCTAAAAGTCATTGATCACATGAGAGCTAATAAATTAAACCTATATTAAAACGGTATACTCTGGATTCTCATATATCTCTCAAAGATAAAAAAAATATTACTGTATGAAGTGTTTTGGAAACTGAACGAATTGTAACTAGAAAGAATGTTACAATAATGTTTTTTGTTGAGTGCCATGATAGGAAACGAAAATATATATAATCCGAAGGGAAAAAAAAAAAAAAAAAAAAAAAAAAAATAACAAAAAAAAATAAGAGCGTAATAATTCTTGTTGCATTGGAAAAGTTTGCTGAGGAAAATATAATAAAAATGTGCCAATAATCACGTCCAACTCTATATGCTATAATCAAACGTAGATAGGGTCCGTAAAAAAAAATCATAGAAATAATCTAGGTGTGATATAATAATAATATCCAAAAATCCTCTACAATTCTCACCTGAATCAACAGTCTTTTTCAATTAAAAATTAAATTATGCTGAATTCAGATTTCGTAAGAGCAATTCAATGGCCGAATTAACATCACCACCAGCTGCTAGTAAAGCTCTTATATTCTCAGCTTGATCCATGAAACCCATTTCCTCAAGTGTTTGAAGTTGTGCCCTAAAACGCGTTTCGGGAGGTTCAGAAGTAGTTGTTGTTTGTGATGCTCTATTAAACATTTTAAACATTAGAAGGATTTTTTTATTATTTTATAAAAAAAAAAAATTCAAGTAGTTTACCCAAGTGATTGTGACATATTCGTGAAAAATGGATTAGGTGATCCGAAAAGAGATGTAGGGTAATAAGGTTGGGGCATTTGCTGACGCGATGCAAATTGTGATGGCATAAATCTTTGCATAACTTGCTGGATTCGTCTAGAGTATTCGGGGTCGGTTGACATTGATAAGTTCTGAGGTAAATTAATATTAGAAAAATTTTGCGTGGTTCCAGGTGCATTCGTGAGAGACGTTGCATTAGGAGTCCCATTCGCCTGAGAGTTTTGGGTTGTTGATTGAGTAGTAGAGCCTTGTGTAGAATTTGCAATCCTGGAAGCTGATGATGGCGACGGAAAAGGCTATATATATAATAGTTGACAATTTTAAAAAAATTTGATTTAAATTCTTTTTTTTTTTTTTTTTTTTTTTTTTGAACAATGAAAAGATTAACATACCATTTGTAAACCCATAATACCAAAAGATGGTATTCCTAAATTGAAATCAAAAAATAATTACGATATGATTATATATAAATATTTATTTATTTATTTGTACAAGGAAAAAAAAATATCGAGTTAGATTTTGACTCCAAACCTCCAAATATACTTGTTATATTCCCTGATGTTGACGAATTATTATTGTTACGTGGCGCCCATGGGTTTGGCAACGGTGTAACATTTATACGTCCCTCTGTATAAATTATGACAATAATTAAATAACAAATTACAAAAAGTACCGAATTGTTTTGATTTAGCTACCTGGAGGACTTTCGACATTTAACATTTCAGCTAGACGTCGGTTTGCTGCTTCTGAAGATTGATCATTCTTTTTCGTAATAACGAATTATGTTTAGATTTGTCATCAATTCTAAACAAATAATAACGCGAAAACACATTTCTTATCAAACATACATGTCTACCGGCAGACTCAAGTGGTTCCTGTAAGGTATGGTACATCCGCCGTAAATGATTAAAGCCGCCTGGTATAGTTTCAAGGTTCGCGAGAGCTCGATCTGATGATGAAATTAAGGTAAATTTAATTATCCTTTCAATGGAGAAAAACATTGGTAGATTGAGAATCAAGAGTAGGCTAATCACCATTATTACGCATCATTTCTCTCATTAATTCCGGATTACGTGCCATGTCCATTGTCTGGAAATAAATCATTACCGCATAAGTTAAAAAAAAAAAAAGAATTAAAATATTGAAGTTATAACATGAAAAATAAATTTAAACCTGACGGATGAAGGATGGGTCATTCTGTATGCATAAATAAAGATGTAATTTTCAATAAACGTATGATTCAAGAAAAAAAATTTTTTTTTTTGATTTTACACCTACAATAATATGACCAATCTCGGGATTTCGTTCTATCATTTGTCTCATAGTAGGATTTTGCATCACCATGGATCTCACTATCTCTGGATTAGAGAGGAGATGCTAAAAAGAAAGTGTGTATGTATGTATAAATATTATTAGAAATGACAAGTTGAGACAATTAATGGACAATTTAATATTATATTGGGGCTCCAACCTAGATAATATACCGCAGTTACGATTCAATGAATGAAACTACTGCGGTATAAATAGTATAATTAAAATAGTACATTCTATATGAGAATTTGTATCGGGTTGAACTTTACAAACACATACCCTAATCATTGGTGAATTCATCATACTTCTCATTAAATCTTGATCGAAATTGGCAAAGGGATTTGTTGTCGCAGAATTAGTGCTCCTTTGGCCAGTCGATGATGGTGGCACATTGGCAGCTTGTTCCGCCGCACGATTATCTGCTCCTCGAACCACGTGTATTGTATGGCCTTCTTTAACACCTGAAGAACGAAATTGTTTTAATTTAACAAATTTATAAAAAGAGTTCAAGCTACGTCAAAATAATTATAAAATAATCTTTCTAACAAGTCGTTAGATCCTTGTCTTGGTCGGAATGGGGTAATAAGTTATATAACATAAATATAATATAATATAATATAATTTATTTATTTTTATATATTTTTTTTTTAATTTGACCCACCATATAGGTCTACCATGTCTTCATCCTTCAGAACCCTCCCAGAGTAAACCAATCGCATACTATCAGCAGGTATAGTGGTACGTAAAGCAAGTTTCTCTTTTAACTGCTGAACCGTTAACTGCCCAGGATCAAATCTATAATCAAAGCCGTCACCAGTAGAAGGACGAAATTTAACATTGATTAATTGCTCGTTTGAGTCTTCCATATTAAACGGTATAATATTAAAAATGACTAAATGTATCGGCTTGTCTCTGCTTTACTAAACGGTCAGATAGTATTTTGAAATGAGGAGGTCTAGGCTTTGAAAGAGTTTATCAGAAGGTTAAGACTTTGAAAATTCCATTGCTTACGCACATCATTTGAGTGATAATTAACGTTGTGATAAGAACCGTTCGATTTTTTTTACTATCACATAAAATCGATTGATGATGTAATTATCCCCGGAAACATCAATAACTTTAGTAGCACAATTACCAATTTTTTACCCCAAAGTCGTCAAAAATTCAAAAATTCAAAACAGAAATTTATTGATTTCGGCATATGTTGCACGAATTAAAATTATCTGGGGGAGCAAGAATTTATTCCTTAATTTATTATTAAACCATAAATAAACCATATAATGTTAACAAAATAATATGTATCCGTACATGTGAATAAAATTGAATAAACGAAAAAAAAAAACTATCTTAGGGAGGGGGGAGGATCTAGGATGAACATAATTAAAACTACTACCATAATGGGTACTTGGAGAGTGTATTATTATAAAGCATAAAATAAAAGACACTAAAGTGGTAATTATTCATATCTAAATTAGATCTTAATTAAAATTCTTATAGGGGCAAATCTAAATCTTAAAACTTCCGGAAGCATAAACTTAAATAAATCATATAAATTCTATATAGTAGTATACTGCAGTATAAAAAAAAATAAGAATAATAAGAAAAAAAAAAAGAGATCGATCTATAAAAGTAAAATTTCTTCGTTATAAAAAGAAAAGAAGGAAAGAAAGAAAAATAGAAAAGATGATATATGTATAACAAAATACAGTATATATAAATGTTTTTTTTTTTTTTGTTTTTTTCTTCAAGCTTTTTTTTGGATTTTTTTATGTTATATTTTTTTGCTGAATTTTTGTTACTGGGATCTATTTTTTTAGTTGATAAAAGGCATGTAATTGGCTTGAATGTATGCGTCTAATAACATAACAAGTAATATTGGGAGGAGCATGATGATAAAAAAGCATCCCAGACGTCTGGAACGTTGAATAAAAAAAAAAAAATTAGAGATAAGTTTATCAGAAGAAATACAAGTCAAAGATTTATAAAGTAAAATTTACCTAATTCGTTCAAATTTGGTCATTATATGAGGTTGATCGTGAGTGATCACTTGTAATTCTTCTTCTAATTCGGCAAAAGTTTCGTATAATTCTTGCAATTCTTCCTCCTTATCGCGCAATTGCTTTTCCTGTTCTTCGGTTGCCTTCCTTATTTTTTCGATCGCGGACTTGATCATTGCATTCTAGATGAAAAAAAAAAGTCAACGCGTTTCAATACATGTGTTTTGCAGATCGATGCGTAAAAATTGTATTACATAAGCTGCTTATATACGTAAGGCGCAGACCAAAGAACTATAATATAAAATTGTTTCATTGTTCATGATTTCTCATTTACCTTTTTAATGAGAGCTTCAACTTCATTATCGTCACCTGCTTCTAAATCGTCTTCAGCGGTGGATTCAATTCCGTCAAATAAGCGAGAATCTTGTTGCTGTCCAAAAAACGGAACAGAAAATTGATGGGACGACGAATGCATCTTGGATGATCCAACACTAAATTGTTCAAATTGAGATGAAATAATTCTTTTCTTTTAGTAAATGTCATGCTGTCATACAACGATGGTGTAATTTTGGAAAATAATTACCTGAAATCTTCGTATTCTTCTTGAAATGTTGCTTGAAATTCTTGCAGCTTTTCAATTAACTAATGAGTGAACAAGAAAAAAAATTTTAAGATAAAAAAAAAAAGATTAAGGTACTCGTTATTACATTTGCTCAGACCGCAGCAGAAAATGAAATTGTTTTTTTTTTTTTACCTTTTCAGCTGGGTAAGGTTGCTCATTAGTAATAAACTCTATGACATGCAATCCTTTCATGTCAGGAGCGAACATTGAGGCGGCATGAGAGCTCATTGCGGTAGTCATCATGAATCGTTAGAAAATTTTTTTTTTCCTGTTTTCAAATTTTTTTGTTTTTTTTTTTTTTGTATTTTTTTTTTTTTAAAGAAAAGAAGGATGAATAAAATGTTTGAACCAATGTAATGGCAAAATTTTAAATCTTTTTTATTTTAATTTTTTTAAGAGTTTTTTTCGTTCGTTTAATGTAAGTTTTAACAGCGCGTGCAAAGAGCACGGTACAATGTCATAATAAAATGGAAGGTAATGGAATTATATAAACTTTCAACAAAGTCGAGAAGTTTTAAAGGACTCTTTTACAAGATAACTTCTCTACAAGTGTTTATATAGATTTTTGGAATAATAGGAATGGTCGGTTCGTTATACAGGAAAAGAAAAGGGGAAAACGCGAAAGCTAAAATGAAAAAAACAACGCTGTGCGAAGTTTTTGCAGAGGAGAATGGAAGAAAAACGGAGAGAAGAATTTGTATGACAAATGCAACGCCTCCTGTTGCGCCTGCAGTACTTAAAACTTTGAAAAAAAAAAAACTTTTTTTTTCAAAGAAAGTTTTTTTTTTTTTTTTTTTTTTGCAAGAATTTTTAAATGTGTGAACTCTGGTGGCGGAGTCCACCTATCATCACGAACGGTATTAGAATTTACGGTATCTAATTTTATGCAGTTGACATTTTTGACAATTTAAAGTATAGAATTATGTGACCAGGTGGTATGATTGTGAACTTATTTGGTATTATTCTCGTCGCTTCTGGTTGTAAGGATTAAAGTTGATCGTGTTTTATTGCCCGATTTGAATTACGCAGTAAATTTATCAATAAAAGTCCATTGTTTTAGAAAAATTTCGCTGTTGCACGTGGAGATGCGTTGTATCCTGTTGTGGAAACTGTGTGAATTTGCATATTGTTGTTCAGTAAACATCCATCAAACCTATCAAACAATAGATTATTAATCCGATTATTCGGTTACCAATCAAACACCGAAAATCCTCTTCGGTATGTGATCACGTGGCCGTCGGTATTAAATCCTGTATAAATATCACCCTGAACTGTCAATGTCTGCCTATTACGGTACGGCATTTTTTTTTTTTTGATTTTTTTTTTTTGTTTCCTCATAAATTATTTGCTACGGCTCCCCCTTACATATTAACAATAGTTTGAATTTTAAATAGGTTTAATTTTCATTATTCTTTTTATTGGTGTATAACCGTTAATAATCTTTTTTTTTTTTTTTTTTTCCCTTAAAAAAAATAAAAAATAAAAATAAAACATAATAATGAGGTCATCTAACGAAAACAATGATGAATTTTCAAAGAGCGTACATGGTAAAACGAGTATTAAAAAGGGGTTGAAAGACTCTTACAATTTGTTAAAAGTTAATCGTATACCTTCATCAAGCAAGTCAACCGTTGAAAATGAGAAGAACAAAAAGGAGAAGAAAGGTATACGGTTAAAAACTAACATGAAAGCTTATTTGGAAGTGACAAGGCAAGGTTTTGAGAGGATAGCTTGGTCTTCTACTACTAAACACAATAAGCTAAAAATAACGATTAAGGAAAACATGCAGACAATCAATGATTCATGTCTAGAGGAACAACAGCCCACCATTCATCGATTACCCAAATTTAACAAGGTTAATTTTGTGGCTGCTGTAGGCCATGAATTTTTTAAACAATACTGTCTTTCTTCTGTATTATCTCTTATAAAGCAAAACAATGGACCTCATTAAATAAATTTTAAATTTCTATAAATATTTATTTTTTCTAGGTGCCACAAATTAATCATAATAATGTCGGCACAAAAGAAACGCTTGAACAAGTGCAAGAGATGCATCAGCTTATCAATCGATTACAAGAAATGTTGGAACAAGAAAGCAAAAACCTATCCGAACCTGCGAAAAATCTTTTATTCATTCATAATCAATTGTTTCAATTAGAATTATCAAGAGATAACACGATGCAAGAAGCAAGCACAGTATCACAAGATGTTATTGGTACATTAAAGGGTTACTTTAACCAATTGGATAAATTTTCTCATCATTTCACAAATTATCTTTTGGATCTGTCAAGGACTTTAATCTTCTTAGCTAAAAGTGGACAAGCGTCAACTACCATCGCTAGTATAGTTAAAATTATCGAAAAAGAAGAAGCGGAAGACGAACGCGTATGTGATGGTTCATTGTTTAAAGTTCATGAAGATTATCATCCGGGAAATCAACGCGATTCTAATTTAGAAACCGGCAAAAATATTGCACGTACAATAAAATCATATAAAAGTAAATTTTTAGAACAAGTTCACAATTCGATCGGTGAAGTTTTTAAAGGAACCCTTCAAAAGTGTAGCGAATCACCGTTACAACTGTTGTTAGAACAATTGGATTTCATTTATATTGATTTAAAATTGGTGAAAAATGAGATTGATCCCCTCTTTCCTTCACATTACAAGTTGCTTTTATTATTTGTGTTGGAGTATCATCGGAATGTTCATCTGTGTATGGAGGAAGTTCTACATACTGACCTTGACGCGGGATCGATTCTGACATTAATTAGGTGGGTACGACATTACCATACATTTATGGATAAAGAAATGCACCAATCTGAAGACTTGTTGGAACCAACGTTGTTGGGTGGGCGAGAACAGGAATTGATTGATGATTGTCTTAAGATGATGCGTAGTCAATTTCAAGAATGGAAAACGAATCTGATAGAAAGCGATATTAAGGAATTTACACAACGTCAAGATCAACCGGAATTAGGTTCAAATAATTTAGCAGGGTTACCTGGTGTTCCTGTTTTGATTGACATGGTAAGACAGCAAATAAACGTGGCAACGGAATTTGCAAACCATCAATTACTGACCGACGTAATAAATTATTGTTGTGAGGTGATGACAGAAGCTCAATTGATATGGATTGACTTGATGAAATCCGAATTTCAGCGACATTTGGATAATCAAGAGGAAACTCCCGAGGGACTTGTCATATATATCGTTGCTTTGGCCAATGGGCAACTTGATTTCTCCAAATTTTTAAAACAATTTAAATTACCATTACCTGAAGGATATATCAAGAACGTTACCGAAGTACTTAATAATGTGATAAACGGTTTCTTTAATGTCGTGACGAATGCTATCAATACCATCTTGGGTATTGTATATAATGACCTCAAGAAACCTTTTAGAGAATTACACACGACAAAATGGTACGAAAGAGATACAATGGCCGAGATTATCTTTACTCTCAAAGATTACACGGAGGAATGTCATTCACACCTAAACCCTGAAGTTTTTCATCATTTAATAGCCCGCGTACTTGATCAATTTGTAATATCATATATAGAATCAATGCGTAATAGAACCGTTAAATTTAGGATGCCACATTGTATTGATAAGATGAAACAGGATATTTGTTCGGTGTCAGAATTTTTTGGACAATATTTTGACGCGCGCGAATTAAATTCACAACTAGATGTAATTCATAAATTACATAACTTCTTGGGTACTTCTAAAGAATTAGTTTATTTGGATTATTATGCACTTCGAAAAGCTTATGGTGATTGCCCAAGGAAATATTTGAAAATCATCTTATCAAAAAGAGATGATCTTAATCTATTTTCGGTGAAAAAAATTAATAAGATACTTAAGGATAAGGCAGCTGAAGCTGGCGAATATACCGGCGAACCAACTGTATTTAGTAAAATCATTATTAAAGATTTAGAGGGAAATGCTCGTTATGAATTAAAAGGTGATTTTAATGAAGTTTTTCATAATATGAAATTACATTCAATAAAAAAAATCATCTAAATATATCTTCTGATTGTATGGAACAATTGTCCAATACATTCAATAGGAAAAAAAAAAAAAAATCCTTTATAGATTTTTTTTTTTTTTTTTTTTTTTTCACAATCGGAAATTCATTTTCGAACAATATTTGCATATTTATCATTATAATAATAATAATTTTTATCCTAATAATTGTATTTATTTACTTATTAAAATTATAATCTTAACCATTTTAAATCACCGTAAGATTTCTCGGTATTAACGAAATAACTTAATACGGTATAATTTCATAAAAAAAATCGATATAAATGAAAAGTTTTTTAGTTGTGATTTTCAATGTGCTTTATTTGTTTGTGCAAAAGGTTTTTAATGAGGTTTGAAGTTATACAACGCAGTAAATAAAAAAAAAAAGGAGGTAATACGGACGTTGGTACAACATTCCAAGCGAATGTTGTGTCATCTGTCAATGAAATAATGTACCCGAATCATAAAATAATTTATTATTATTTTAAAACTTAATATCCCCTTCGCTAATATCATTTAAAGATAATAATTCCAATTGACCTTTTCCATTTGTATTTGATTGTAATAATTCATTAATGGTTCTAAACTGCCCAGGATCAATTGTACATATCTGCAAGATTTTTAGTTAAGAAAAGAAAAGAATTGATTAACTTCTTAAAATGACATTTGATATCTTATTAAAATATTTACCAATTCGTATTCATCACCATAACTTTCATCTTCAAGATTAGAAATCAAAGGTGTCAACTTTTCTTTAACTTTCTTCTCTTTGATAGGAGTCGTAATTCTCAAACGCATTTGTGCACGAGCAATAGGAATGATCTTCTTTTCTTGAAGTTGTTTGATAACTTCTAACACTTGTGATTTTGTATTACGATTCACGTTTACCGAAAGATGTAATTCACTCATTGCTTTTTCAATCATCGTGACAGTATATGGTCTTTTTGTTTCAGGGTTAACGCACTTTTCTGCAACCATGGTAGCAATTTCACGATAGATACTATCAATCTGATGTGTTCTTTCTTTATCACTAACTTGTAATTGTCCTTTCTCCAAAATCTAAGTTGAAAGAAATTTTCACGGGGGAAGTAATAAAGAAAGAAAATAAATAAATAAAAATAAAATCTATAACCTATATAAATGAAACTACATACCTCCTTAATGATTTGATCTAAATCCTCAGTTTTAAAACATTTCTGTAAATTGTCTTTTGG